TACATGGAGAGGGCTTCAGGTTCAAGTAGTAGTAGTAGTAGTAGTAGCAGTAGTAGTAGTAGTAGTAGTAGTTGCAGTAGTAGTAATTGCAGTTAAGTAATTCGATGAGTAGCAGAGTAGCACAAGTAGTTGTACAAGTAGTAGTACAAGCAGAAGCACAAGTAGAAGTAAGAGCGGGAGGTAGGAGAAGAAGGAGTAGGGGTAGGAGTAGGAAGAGGAGGGAGGAGGAGTAGTACCAGTCGCATCTAGTTTTCTAATTTGTTATCTTTGGAGCGCTGGAGCTGGCGCAGGCTTTCCGGCTGCTTGTTTTGGCAAGATTTATCCCGTTACCAGTAGCAAATTTCTGCAGGGCCAGCGTGACCGAGATGTGATACTCACAGCGACACCCTGCTGTTCTATAAAGTCGAAAGCCCTTTCTCCACCGTCTCTCTTGCGCACGCATGCCTTTCACTCTAACCACACGCACTATGGATGCACGGGCAGCTTCCTCTCCTCAACATCCCAAAACTCAACTGCGTATGTGCCTTGTTGATTTCCGCGGCTCTGGCAGGCGGGATGAGGGGCGTGACCTGCCACTTATCTGGTGCACTACCCCTCCGCAAAACTCAGATATCTTTGTGACGTTACGGTGCAGCGAACCCAAGAGCGAGTTGCGCTAGGGTCACTCCTACTAGTATTCACCTGCTGCAGGATTCTTGTTCGTGCCCGCACTGCGGCTCTTCCGCACTGACTGTTCGCTTGCTTGCACATGTCTGATGTGTGGCATTGTGTGGCGCAGGGTGTGGAGTCGAAGTGCGCCGTTAGGGTGATAGGCCGCACTGTCAGCACCTGTCGTGTGTGCGCAAGCTGTTGCTGCATCCGCAGCCGCTTCGTCGGCTGTTGGTGTCCTTCTTGTCTACATCCTCTTTTTCCGAAGTGATGCCCGTGCAGGTCCTTTACCTCAGCGTTGAAGTGCTCGACTCCTCGCACCCAGATATGGACGCTACCCTTGCCGTTTGCAGAGAAGCGTCCCAGCACTCTGATTGAAATTTTGCTGGGGAGCCCAACTCTGTGTGTGAGTTTCATGACATGGCACTGCTGATGGGATCGCCTTCGTTGCAGTCGGTGGACGACTGCTTTCCTCGCAATCACCGCACATGAGATATTCTGACCATCCACCTGCCGCAGTCTAAGCACTGCACGTGAAGCGTTTCAATGGTCGAGAGCCCTTCTCCTTGTGCATACCTGTATGACCAACAGCTTATTTAGAAGGCCAAGCATTCACAATGCGAGCAGTCACTTGATCGGGGCACGTCTTGGCTCTTACCCTCAATTCGTCACCTTCAATTTTGGATTCAGGACATCTTCGCACCTTGCCAGCATCATGGAGGTTTCACTTGCATTTGCGACAAAAGCGAACTTCGTAAGGCTCTGGCGGGAACCTTCTTCGTTGTCAGAGGCCCTGGAACGGTCCTGTTGCCGATAAACCTTAAGCATCCGAGCAAATTAACCTCCCGGTCAAACAGCCGAGAGAAGTCATGGTCAGCTCGCTGCCAGTCCGGGTTGTCGCCGGAGACGGCTGTTATCTGAATATCTTCCTTTTGCGAATCGCGTTCACTGAGCACAGTACTTCCATGTCTGCAAGCGACTGCCGAATACTGAATGAACTGACTGCACTGTCCCGCGTGACTCTACCATCAGGACCGTAACCGATGTGATCTCGAGCCTCATTTGAGAGCACAGCACACGTGACGAAAGCATCTGCAAACACACTGCACGCCTTTTGCATCGTCCAAACCCATGACCTGGGGCTCAGCAATGCTTCACTTCTGATGTCGCTAAATGTCTGTTCCTCAATCATGCCGACTTTCAAGCTGTTCGCACACCGGAAAGCACCAAAAATCGGAAGGAGATGGCCGGATCCCGATAGAAGATAGCTAGTCCTTCCGAAAGAAGAAGCGACATCCAAATGGAAAGGGAGGCTTTGTATTGGACAACAAAAGCACGGGAATGATTTTGAAAATGCCCACGAAGAACTATCCAGAGCGTGTTCAAAAGTCAGGGCTCTTCGCAAGTTTCGCTCGACCAAGTTCCCTTCATCAAGCAGAGGTTGGCCATGATGGCGCACATAGTCGTTTCGGCTTCAACAGTGACCGGGCTAACAGCGACTCCTCTAGACAGACTCTAGATGCCAGACAGGAGTCTATTGCATGCATCATGTGCGCAGGCGACGGCATCGACTGGCCACCAAATGTCCATGAAGCAAGCGGGGCGAAGGCTCATAGAACTGCAAAGCTCAGGTGCCGACCCCTTGTCCATTCCAGCGAGACGTGTTGTCTCTGCCTGTCCTAGAGGATGGTACCAACCTTAATGCCACCATCGGCAGACGACCAGATCTCTTGCCCTATCAGGCCAGGCCCACAACCGTGCTTCGTGATGTCGTACTTGCTTGAGCCCTGGTATTCAACAGGGCTCCGCAGACGTCTTTCAAAACCTTTCTTAATTCCTTGCATTCTTGCACGAGGGGCACCGAACCATGGCAAGGAACTGCAAGTGCCACAGCACGCAAGTTTACCCCTCTACGATCTCCCAAGCTCGGCAGGCGAACAGTCGTCTGAGGTCGTAGGTCCAGCCCACCATGGTGCGGGCCTTGGGCTTGACGCAGCACATACTGTAGATTGCATACATCGAACGACGGTGTCGCCTGAGCAGGTGGTGCAAAGCTCCTGACCCCCACCAGTGGCACCCAAAGGTGCCGAAGTGCCAGGGCGCAGTGCCGCGGCTACACCGGGCCAAGTGCCTCCCAAGCGCTGCGACCATGACCATGGCTTTGCCATGTCGCAGAAGTTTCTACACATCTTTGGAGGTTGCTGTGAAATCAATATGTGCAGACCTGCGGCCATCGCGTGGGCAAGTTTGGCATCCTGTCGACGGTGCTCCTGAACGGTTGCCCGTTCTGAAAGTATCTGCTACATTCTGCTACGTGTTACTTGGGCATCTGAAGGCTCCAGCACCTGAAAGTCTCGGAGGCGCGACTCGAGTACTTTCTGGGTTTCGGCAGCCCACCTATTCTGTCGATGATGTCAACGAACAACAACTTGTCCGGCACTTTGCACAGGCATCCACGAAGTTGGTTTGGGACCGGGCCCTGTTGGGGATGTCATCACCATGTTGGGCGCGGATTGAGATCTGGCCAGGTCAACCGAAAGCTTGTGGTAGAACCCAGTCTCAGGGTGGAAGTTTTGCCTCAAAAGAGTCCCCGGAAGATGAAGTGTTCCCATCGGGGCGCATCTCTTTCCTCGCAGCTGCATAAGGCTACGAACCGGCAACATTCAAAAAAAGCATCCGAGAAGGAACAACGGTGTCCTGCTGGCATTAGCGCCACTTCCACGTCATGACTTACTCGAATTTTGGGCACCTCAGGTGACATGACCATGTACCAGATTCACGAAACTCTTCGTGCAGCTTGCCAGCTGTTCGGCTGTCTTACGTGCTCATGCCTTATCCTCTAGGCTGCTGACCTTGCGGCCCATTCCTTTGATGAGCGCAAAGACCAAAGCCGTGGCGAAGCACTCCGCTGGGAAGCAACTACGGTTGTAGACAAAACTGTAATCTGATGATGGAGCAATATGGTCTGCGCAAGCTCTTACAAATGTGCGGTCGAATTTATACCTGTGATCTGTTCTTTTTTTGCAGCTCCTTATGGAAAAGGCCTGCTTCACTTTGGCCCTACAGCTCTCGGCTTCCAGCTGAAGCTCACGGACGATGGCGAGACATATGACCAAAATGCTCTTTTTGCAATGCACGGAAACAGAACAATCAGACCCGCAGGCAAGGTTTTTGCGCTTGCTGAGCATGACCACAGTTGCGACAAGGCAACCTCGAGCAGCCGCGATACCGGCCGACGTACACAGCGTCACAGCTCAACCTCGTCACCACCTGGCCGCGCGTGCTCAAAGTGTCTCAAGGCTTCACAATCTTTTGGCAAGCCACGAAACTAGATAAACAAACACCTCCCAACCTTCGTCTTCTTCATCTTGGTCGCCGTCCTCCTCAGCTTCCACCTCCTCCACAGCCTGCAGATTACGCAGACTCAACACGTAGCTGGCACCGCGCTCGTCACTCACCAGTAACTATAGGCTGGCGACCTTGCGTTCGGCACTTGGGAATCTCTCGTCGTGTGTTGGCCCCCCTCGTTTCGAAGCGCTGAAGGTCAAGACCGCAGCACTCGGGGCTGGGGTGCTTTGGGACGTCTCAGAGACCGGTGCTGCTGCGGCTGCGAGCTACCTTCAGCATTAACCACCCTTTCTGTTGACCCGCGCCGATGCCCGACCGACGCGAGCAAAACCCATGCGAGACCAAACCCCGAGACATGGTCTTCGAGTGTTCATGTCCCAGAATGCCCCAAGCAGGATTCGGTTCACATCTCAACCTGCTCTGGCCGTGTTGCAGCAGCAAAGTCTGAATCCATCTAATGTGTGAAGTTAAAAATGTGATCGGAACCGCCTCGAAAAGTGGCTCCTCGTCCTGCAAACTGTCTCTGGACCCCACTTGGTCAACTTTGCCTTTCCTGCAAACTGCGGAGCAACATGTGATGGACCACGAACGATGCTATCTGCACGAGACTATCGTCACATAGGCAGAATCCACATGCCTGTGGTGGGGAGGCGCTGGCTGCTGGGATGGCTTTGGACGAGGTGCCGGTGCCGAGGTTGCAGTCACCTCATACGAAGGTAACTTGAGAGCAGAGCGGACGAAAGCTATCGAGCAGATGCTGGCAAGCGAATATGATTGATGCAATGCTCCTTGTATGCCGTACTGCGAAATGGCTCATAAAACTTAAGCCTAAGCCTGCGCTGAACGATGCATGGCAAGACTCGTTCCTCAATGCAAAGAAGGAATGACAACTCTAAAACTTTTGTCTACGCTTTCGTGCTTTCTCGTCTTTTCTCTAGTTCTATCTTTTTGCATTCTTGTCCGTCCTTCGATATCTAATTACTTATTTCGTTCTGTCATTGCTTACTTATGTACGTCATTATTTCTGTGCTTGCGTCGTTTTTGTTTCTGTCGTCCATTAGTTCTCTAGGTATTTACTTCTCATTTGTCTCTCTCTGTCTCTCTTTACTTATGTATTTCAATTTGCGATCCTTAATTTTCGTCCGTCGTTCTCTCATTATTTAGCTATTTCTTTCTGTCGGTCCTTTGTTATCTATTGGTGTGGTTGTGTCCTTGCTTGCGTTATTTATTTCTTGTGTGGGTTCTTTCTTTCGACCTTTCGTTATTTATTCTTGTCGCTACTCATTTCTGTGATCCTTCGTTTTCTTTCCTTATTCAGTTCGTTAGTTCGTTAATTCGTTCGTTGCTTCCGTCTTGTTTATCTCTTTCTTGCGTTTTTATGTACTTATTTTTCTTTATGTTGTTCGACCTTTTGTTATTTTGTTATCTTTCTTGCGTTATTTACGGGCACTTGTTTATGTAGTGTTTTCTCCATTTTCGTCTGTCTGTCAGTCGTTATTTTCGTGGCTGATTGTTTTCGTTCTTTCGTTCGTTTATTTAGTTCTGTCTTTCTTACTTTCCTTCGCTCTTTCTTTCGGTAGATCATTCTTTCTTTTATTTCGTTCGTTATTTATTTCTTTCTTGATTCTTCGCGTATTTCTTTATTTCTTTCGTTCTGTCTTTCTGCTCGGCTCTGCGATCTTAGCGGCCATTGCTGCGCGGTCGCGGTCGCATGGCGAGCCAAACTGGTGCGCCCCCACCGTGTCGGAGCGGGTCTGCAAAATGGGCTGTAGCAACGCCCGATGCAAACGGCGTGCGATAGCGCCTCAGCGTCTCGCACCCCAAGTTGCAAAAGCCTTTTACCCGCGCGACTGCCTGGCGGGAATGCACACCCTGTGCCGGGATCCTTGTGCTTTCAAGGTCCAAATCGTATTCTGGAAGAGGTTGCAGGGAACGCTGGTGCATCCAAGGTCGCGGTCTGCGCCGTGTCGGCGGTGCGACCGGCACTTCGCACAGCACACTGATGGATGCGAGGCGGGCCGTTGTCACCATCGCCATCACCGTCCTGCACTCGTGATCTCGAGGAGCTGGGCTTGGTGCTCCTCGTCGTCCGATAGCTGAGGCATCGCCTGCGGTGCGGCGGCGACCGTGTGGCGAAGCAGGACGTGCCGGGACGTACTCCATGTCAGGGACCACTGACTGTGTCCGCATGCAGCTCGATGAATACCTCGTATAACCCAGGAGCTTCGGTGGCGTCTTTACCACCGGGCCCGTCTTCTTCCAAGGCGCCGTGGCTGGTGCTGTGGAGGCCTTGCCGCCATCTCCTCCGTCGTCTAGGATGGTGGGGCACTCGGACTGGACGGCATAGCCTTGGCCAGCACCGGCGGCAGATCGGCCTGATAGGAAGTCCCCAGCCAACTCCCTAGCCGACCTGCTCGAAGGTCCTGGCGCAGGCGCGTCCGGGAGGCAGAGCAAGAACCACGCCCATGGCCGCCATCCGACTCTTAGCGAAGATCAGCACCTGCTCCCTCGCCGCGATGCGCATGTGGTAGTGGTCGTCCATGCCCATCACCGCCGAGTGGCCCACACCGACTCGAGCGGATAGCAGCTGCAGAGTCCGTTGCTGTCGCTCGTACTCCGTGCAACAAATTGCACTATACAGCAAATGCTCCCTCGCACAAAATCACCGCTGTCAGCTCTGAGTAAATAGAAGCAATCTCCAACTGCAGCCAGTTGGGCCTTCTTGGGTTTTGAAGGACGCGCTTTGATCCTGCGGGTGGATTCACGTCATGTTGCTGCTTTTCGCTCCGTCGCCAGCGGCCTCGGCATGGACTTCAGCGGCGCCGACTGCTGGTCAGCGCAAGCCTAGCGCAATGTTGACCCTGGTCCAGCTTGAGAGTTGGCCCAAGACGGCTCCTGAAGAAACGATGTGACGCTGCTGGCGTCCATGCTTTGCATGAACAGGCCACCTTAGCGAAATTGCGGCCTTAGCAATTTCCTCGCGGACAAAAGCTTGCTGTCTTAGGGATCTGACCGTAGGTTGCATTGCCTCGGTTGAACGGAGTATAAAGACAGCAGATACTGTCCCAGGACATTCGTCTACTGCGCTGCAACAGAGAACACGCGGTTGGTGGCCCAGTTGTACATTGACATCAGGTTGCTGAAAACCGACAGGTCACCGACAGGTCGTACACACCGTAGGTTTCGTCCCCGTGCACGGAACAACACGTTTCAATAGGAAATATTGTCCAGCACATAAACTGAGCAGTGCAAAATTCTAGATGCCCAACAACGACAACGAGTTCAATCGTGTACTCGCTTCTCGAATAAGACCAGGGAGCCACCCCTCACAGCAAGCACGAAATCCGGTGCAGGCAGCGTTCGGTATACGAGCTAAACCGTAGGCTTACATTGTTTTGGATTCGCTGTTGCAGTTACACTGCATTCTTGCCTCCGAGATGATGCCAAGCACAGCATCAAAATCGGGATGCATGTGGCCGGCGAGATTGTAAATGTGTACTTCACCGAGCGTATCACTACACCGGCGATTGTCTCCTGTGCGCTGGCGCGACCATGACATCATCATCTGCGATTACGGATGCTTTTACTGGATGGAGCCGCAGTATCAGCAATGAGCTGATTGGTCAAGGTAGTCACAACTACAAACTTCTTGGGTTTGACCACCGAGATCTTGGACTCTGCATGTCCAGCCGCCAAAGTGCGATGTCAATCGTTTCGAAAATAATTGACATGTATGGGCACCTGCCACCAAACAGTTGTCATCACTGGGTCATCATCATCCGACCGCGGCCCCCCTGTTCTCACTCAAGCCGGTAGCTCGCGCAAAGATTCCGGCGCTGGGTTTAAGCCTGGCTAACCATCCGCAAGTGTAAGCCAGAAGCTGCACGAAGTCCAGGAAGTTTGTCATCAAATGCAGCTCTCGAAGACTCTAACCAACGTGCCAATGACACAGCGTTGGTTGATTTTCCCAGTTTCATAGGCCGTTGCACACTTTTCCGGGACAGATTAGACTGATTAGACAAGCCAGTCAGGCGAAAATGGCGAAAGCGCCTTCTCTGTTTCCGGGTTTGAGACGACGAAAGCATGGCCTCTCCTTTTCGAAAAGCCGAACTTGACGCCGAATCAACAAAGAGGAGTCGCGCGGTCCCGGCCAATCCATAATCCCCATGCTTGATTGAAGTCAACGCTCGAGAATGGAAATACATCTGCGTACGCAAGCTCCATTCGTCTCTCTCACCAGCATAGCATCTGCAATCCGAGTGCGGCCTGTCGAATCATCTCGTGTCAGGCAAAGCACATCCGCGCCACCCTGCTTTTTAGATTGGTTCAGCACAGGACACACTCGAGAGCAATGCGCCTTCTCTTTGCTTCGCGTTGCAAGAATGCTTTCTTCAAGCTTCAGCTGCCTGCCGACTGCTCCAACGTGCTGCCTCTTGCAGCTTGCAGCGACGTATCAGAAGCAACAGGGTTCTTCAACTTTAAAGCTGCGGGGCTGCACCAGAAAGACGTGTCCAGCGACACAACTTTGAGACTGCGAAACTTTTCTTGCAATGGCCTGCCAGGGCGGCATGAACAAATGCCTTTGTCAATGGTCGGCTTGTGGCCTCAAAACGTTCAGAGCAGTGTCCCGCTGAGCGGTGTTCCTAAGTGCACGTTAGCTGTAGCTGTACACAGTAGCTATCGCAGGCGTTGTGCATGAGCCGACACTGTGCTGAAGCTAAAGGCTGGGGCTTGTGGCCCACAACGACACAGGAACGACGTGAAGTGCAGAGAGTTGACCACCTCATTGTCGTACTGCGACACAGCGGCAACCCCGTAGTAGGCAAAGCTACACACATGGATGATACAGGATTTCGGCCACTTTGAATTGGTGTCTGGCCCAAGAAGGTCCCCACATAAGTCATATGTCGACGTGTGGAGAAGTTTTCTGCATGCTTCCACCATCTGAAAGCAGGATGAAATTGGAATTTGCTGCGAAATACTTGACAGCACTGGCACTGCTGCCACTGCGGCTGCAGCTGCTGCTGCTGCTGGTGCTGGTGCTCCTGAAGCGGCTGCCACTGTTGCCGCCACTGCCGTGGGGTCACCACTGGCACTCTGCAGATTTGGTGACTGAGCGATGCGGCTTCTTTAAAGCGTCAATCCGATGTATTTCCTCGGCTGGTGGGCAGAGAGGGCTACAGCTTTTCTGGCCGTGCCGCAGTGGCCCTAGTTTCAACTCATCAAAACCTCTTCATCAGACACACCAAACTGTGTAACCACCTGGTACATATACTGTTTTGGAACGAATTTCGGATGCCGAAATTACAGCACGGAAAACGATAGCTCTTTTTGCTTGTAAGCCCAAGGCGCCTGCAGTATGTAACATTACATTCCGGCGCTCTAACAGGCTAGTGCGACTACGACTCTATACATGGCACTGCACATGAGCTTCGCAAACTACGGAAGTCAACACAGCTTCTTCAACTACGGTACAAAATACACAGGAAATTCACACCCGTCTTATCTGCGTGTGACCGAACGTGCAACAAACTTGGTGTCAGCTGTGCTTGGCCAGCGTGACGGCGCGTATCGCGCTGTGATTTTCATGCACCTTTTAATTAGGCTGTGGCCTCATGGGACGCTTGATGCTCCTCCGAACTATGTCGGGGCTGGGCAGTTGTAGTGTCTGTGGTCGGCGGCTCAGAAGTCGACGCATCCGGTGCTCGTCCCAACACAATAACTACGTTCGTGCGGATAGTCTCATTCAGCAAATGAGTATTCATCGACTTCGTAAGGCGATCTGCTAGCTGCAGGTGTGTGGCCACCCACCTGAGTACGTCACCATCCGGTGCAAATGCTTCGTGACTGAGAACATCGACTTCCACAATGTCTGTCTCAGTCTGGCGAGTTCTATGCTCAACTGGTTATCTTCGGGTCGGTCAAGCTGCGGCGGTCACTGTACTGAACACGCAGGATACTTCGCCCAGCCAGCTATTTCCTCCCATTGGCTTCGCACTGGAAGTTTCCCCAGCACACTCGCTCGGAGCCTATCTCCATGCTCCAGGGCATGCTGCCAGGAATAAGCCTCGCATTGTAATGTCGTGCGACAGACGTGCTTCATGGTCGATGAACTGAACGATACAAGATGCATATCATGGGTATTGGAATTCTCGTTGATTGCGTCCATATGCGACATCAGGTAATGGATGCGCCCACGCTGGGATTTATGCCCAGCTTCCCCCCTGCAAATGACGCGTCGCAATCTGACGATCGCCAGCTCTCCCGTGCCCCTAGGCAGTCGAGCTTTATAGACAAGACTTCTATCTGCATCATTCAGCGCGAGTGCTGCAACTCGGCTGGCATCCCTCAACGTTTCGATAGTCGCTTTGGTTGCTGTTGCAGCACATTCACACGGTATGCGAGATCGGGTCGTGTAGCTAGCAACCCAAGCAAGGGAACCCACTACAAACCTCAGCGCTGTCCGCTGGGCAGCCGTGACCGGAGTCGTCGGCTTTTCGCCCGTCGGGACGCCTGTTGGGCGAATAGCCTGGTATTGTCCCGGCAATTGATTTCTTTGTGCCGTCCTGATGTTGTATGTATTCACGGCCGCAAAACCTGAATTTGTCTTGGTTAATGCGACCGATCTTAAAGCGGTCGGGTAAACGTTGGATGGCATGTTCGCGTTTTCCGCCTGCAGCCCAAAAGAAGTCATCCACATGGGTGCCAAGTGCGGCACGCAGTGATCCTGAGTCGTCTTTGGGAAAACATGGCGCTGACAGGAAAGGAGACCCTCGCAGTCCGAACTCTCTGACTGCTCTCCTTTATACAGAAATTTGGGTTACGACCAGCACCTGTCGGCCCATAGTGGCACTCGAGCTATCACACAGCCAGCTTCCTGGATCTCACGATCAAGTACTCGCTTCGGATGCTTGGGTACCCGAAGGATAAGCAAACGCTCCAACAGCTTGACCTTGAAAATATGCATTTGTGATATCAGGGGCTCGTGCCCTACGTCCTAGGGATACGGCCCAACTACAGCTTGCTCGGCTGTTGGTGAGTCATCCCGTACGTCTTCTCCATCCATTTGTTCAAAGTTTCCACAGGCTACAAGTCTAGCCTTCCACTTAGGCGCATAGCCCGGCTTGCCAACTAGATGCTTGTTTTTGTTTGCAAGAACCAATTCTGCGGGTATACAAACGAAACGTGTCCTCCACGAGTCAACTCCAGTATCTCCTTGGCGGTGCAAGGGATAACTGCGTTGAATTCGACATACTTTTGCCATTCTGTCTCCATGGGCTTGTCCAGGCCAAGTTGCACATGAACCGGAGCCTTGCGGTAGTCAAGCGAAATTGCCAAGAACATTGCTCCTGTCTCCTGAATATTGTGTTCAGCGCTCGTCTCCCAAATCGTTGTCTCGCTGGTCGCACTGGGGTCCAATGGCTTTGTAGCTTCGGAGCATGCATAACAAGCCTCCACAGGGTTTGCTGGGTGATCTTCTCGGGACGAACCCGCTCGAATATGCTTCACCCTTTCTGCCGTGTCTCTCTACTATGTACATTCCCTGTCTGTGTCGTTCCCAGTTAGATCCGGCGCACAACACCGCCGTGCGATGGGGCTCGTCTTCGGCCCTGGAAAGTATTCCTTCAACGATGGATAGTGAACTTTCAGTCTCCAGCAAGGCATTAATGCCGCCCCTAGTACGATTGCCCTACCAATTCTGGACAGTGCATGAACAAAATACCATTGACAGAGCACAGACAATGCAGAAGTGCGGGTACCGAGTATTCACTGGGTTGCTCCGAACGTCGACTACCTCGTTGACTCTATGATCAAGTAGCCTTCGCACGAAAGATTCAGCTGACATATTCACATGTCCCAAGGTATATATCCCGCTGCCCTGCTTAACCTCTGTCCCATCCGACATGCCGCGTGCTTGTGAAGCATCT